TTGTAATTAAGTTGTTAAAGTAGTATTCACTAGACAGTATACTAAATACAAAATGTAATACACTTCCTTGTTCTTACATTATATTAAACAAATTGTAATTAAGTTGTTAAAGTAGTATTCACTAGACAGTATACTAAATACAAAATGTAATACACTTCCTTGTTCTTACATTATATTAAACGACATTGTAATTAAGTTGTTAAAGTAGTATTCACTAGACAGTATACTAAATACAAAATGTAATACACTTCCTTGTTCTTACATTATATTAAACGACATTGTAATTAAGTTGTTAAAGTAGTATTCACTAGACAGTATACTAAATACAAAATGTAATTGTTATATTACAGTTCGAGAATGTTCCATGGTTTCATCTCTAGAACATGGCAAAGTAAACTCTCCTAGTGCCGATCTGATAGAAGGAGCTACTTTACGGTTCTCATGTGATAGCCCCTACTACTTGATTGGTCAAGAAACATTAACCTGCCAGGGCAACGGTCAGTGGAGTGGGCAGATACCGCAGTGTCGTAAGTAATGATCAAGTATATTCACAGTTAATTTACTAGTATGGCACTGTAACTCACTTGTTCAGTTGGTAAAAACTGGTTGTTACTTGCAGGACTAGTATGGCACTGTAACTGTATGGCAGATACCACAGTGTAGTAAGTAATGATCAAGTATATTCACAGTTAATCTACTAATTAGTTAGTTGGAACAAGAGTTGGGTCAGAATGACCCACGTCGATTTTTTTTCAAGTTGATATTCCAACTCAGCTACCTGATATTTTATGTACTATATTTCAATCAGTTCTTGAGTGTTGAGCAGAGTAGATGCGTTGTTTCAGCTCTCTTTTTTTACTGCTGTAGTCGTTTGTTGGTTATTATGACCCCACCGTATTATAAAGATAATATTTTTGAATTTTATATCTTCTTTGATTACTGATAAAGACACTTTAGTTGTAAGTTTATTATTTTATCAACACATTTCTGTCTCTGTTTCATTGAATCACAGAGAAATTGGTCTTCTGCCCTGACCTTGACCCTGTAAGCCATGCTGAACACCAGGTTAAAATTGGCTTAGAACAAAAATATGGTCAATTTCCTCAAGGCACTGAAGTAACCTATACGTGTACTGGTAATTACTTCTTGATGGGTTTGGACACCTTAAAATGTAACCCTGATGGGTCCTGGTCGGGAACACAGCCGTCCTGTGTTAAAGGTAAAGTTATTTAATAGAAAGTTCACTGGGTTCAACTTTGTATTTGTGATTTATTTTGTAGAGACTTGTGTAATGATTGGATTCATTTTGTTGATACAACACTTGATTTGTTGAACTTAAATGTTGTTAGAATTCAATTCTGAAAATAATTAATAAAAGGTCTAGTAATGATATAATAACTGATGTCAGTGATTTCTTAACAATAAAATACAGCATGTGTAGTAATGATATCGTAACTGATGTCGGTGATTTGTTAACAATAAAATATAGCATGTGTAGTAATGATATCGTAACTGATGTCAGTGATTTGTTAACAATAAAATACAGTATGTGTAGTAATGATATCGTAACTGATGTCAGTGATTTGTTAACAATAAAATACAGCATGTATAGTAATGATATCGTAACTGATGTCAGTGATTTGTTAACAATAAAATACAGCATGTGTAGTAATGATATCGTGACTGATGTCAGTGATTTGTT